CTCCCAACTCAGCAACCCACGGGGGCCGGTGGGAGTCAAGTTAGCTTTGGCTGCATCTTAGCTAACACTACACCCACTCTTCCTTCCTCCGAGCTCCGGTCTCCCTGGGAGAACGGGTAGCGCAGGGAACAGCCTGAACCGGCGCCCACTCCCGGGTTTCACGCGGACAATTTGCAAAGTCATCAGGGAGCCTGCTTTAATGTTGATTCTTTAGAAGCGAAACACAAAGCGCATTAACCGGCTGTTTTGCCCAGGCTTGGCTGGCTCCCAGGCAGGGAAGGCCTGTGTCCAGATGGGGCGATGCAGATGGGCCATGGCCACTGCCTCTCCCCGCCAGCGACAAGTTTCAAACAGGCCCTGCCGTTCATCCCACCCCCCGGCCCCCGCTGCGCCGAGCCAGCCTGGTGCTGGGCTCTGGGTGGGCTGTGCCAGGGCAGACAGGGCCCTGGACCAGCTTACAATTCCATGAGACACCAGGGAGCACAAGGTGCCAGTGCTATTTGGGACAAGCACAGGCGGCTGGGGTGGGGGTGGGGCAGCGCCCTGGCGAATGGGAGGACCAGGGATCTTCGGAAAGCTTTATAGAAGTTGAAGAAGAAGAAGAAGAAGGTTTACTAAGTATTTGAGACACAGGGAATAGGAACAGAAAGGAGACCCGTTTGGGGAGGAGGTTGCAGGCAAGTGGCTCATTCAGGTCCCTCTTCCAAGGTGGACTTCACATTCTAGCCAACTGACTTCTTTTTAAAAAAAATATATATTTTATTGATTTTTTTACAGAGGAAGGGAAAGGAAGAGGAAGGGAGAGTTAGAAACATCAATGAGAGAGAAAGATCCGCCAGCTGCCTCCTGCACAGCCCCTACTGGGGATGTGCCCGCAACCAAAGTACATGCCCTTGTCCGGAATCGAACCTGAGACCCTTGAGTTCCCAGGCCGATGTTCTATCCACTGAGCTTCACAGGCCAGGGTGAAACTGACTTCTTACAGTGGCCACTGTCGCTGGCCGGGAGTCTGGGTTCTGTGAGCACCCCTCGGAGCTCATTACAGAACAGGAGAACTCTGCAGTCTTAGCACTTGGTTCACTGTTTTAATTGCTGAAGCTCGTCTACAAGACAGAGCTTCTACCGTGTTTCCCCGAAAATAAGACATCCCCTGAAAATAAGACCTAGCACAACTTTGGGAGCAAAAATTAATATAAGACACTGTCTTATTTTCGGGGAAACAGGGCAGTAACATGCTCTAGGTTCACACAGCATCTTTCCTCTTGTCTCCGGAAAACCACACACTGCCCCAAACCTTGGTCATCTGCCTCTAGAACGTCCCTCTGAGAAAAACCCAGGGCAGAGGACGAAAGAAGCAACCTGCTTCAGGGCAGCCCACGGCTGGACCAGTCTAGATGGCGGCGGGCCCCCCCCCTCCCTGCTCTGGGGTCAATATCCACCCTGCGTGGGCACCCGCCTGGGCATGGGCATCCGCCTGGGCAGGAGGTGCTGTCCAGCTCCCCGGCAGGCCTCGCCAGGCTGTTTTCAGAGCCAGTGAGCTGCTGTGGACACAGCACACCCCAGAGCTTTCCCGGCGGGTTTCCGGGGTGTGGGCCATCGCTGGGGGAACGGGCTGTTGTGGCAAACCACTTCGTAAACGTCAGTGTTACGCAGGGGCACTGAAGTAAGGTGACCAGACATCCCGCTTTCGGCGGGACAGTCCCGATTTTTAACCATTTGTCCCAAATCGGGACTTTCTTAAAACGCTGAGGGACGCGGGACAAATGGTTAAAAATAGGGACTGTCCTGCCAAAAGCGGGACGTCTGCTCACCTTACACTAAAGGGAAAGCCTCAGGGTTGCTTTTGGATAACAGGCATTGGTTCCCAGTCAGTGATGGAGGGTTTCTGGGCGCTCTGTCCTCGTGACTGAGCAGATGAACGGGATCAGAAGCTGGGACATCCGTGCGAAGCAGGGCTGCGGGGTGAATGGCGGACAGCGGCCTGGAGCCTGGCGTGGACCTAGCAGCCTCTCCCTGTGAGGAGCAGCCAGCCTGGGGGAATGGGGAAACATGCCCGCACCCCCGCCAACCTGCTAGGTCCGGACTGCAGGGGGAGGCACGTGCGTTTTTTCAGAGCTCTCTGGGCCAATCACCTGTGCTCCCCGAACCCCTGGCATCTGGCCGGCCGGCTGGCAAAGCCTCCGGCCACGGTTTCCTCCCTGTCTCTCCAGCTCACCATCCCGTCTAATTTAAAAATAGTGTCGGAGGAAGGGTCGGAACCACAGGCCGTCCGGCAGGAGGACCCTGCACTGCCACGGTCATGGATCACCCCGAGTCACAGGAGGCTCCACGGGGTGGTGCTCAGGCCTCCGGTCCTGGGAGAAAGGAGCCCACGGTTAGGGATGAAGCATTAAAGCAACCAAGCCCTTTTATCCTCTCTTGCTGGGCCTCCGTCAAAGGGATTGTACCGGCCTCCACTTTGAACGTCCTGCCTGCAGGGGACCTGGACCGGGATCTGAGTCCATCCCGGCCAGGCTCTGCAGCTCAGGGGCCTCAGGCTCCGCTCTGCAGGAGAAAGGGGCTTCGCTAGGTGAGTTTCAGATCCTTCTGGCCTTAAAATGCAGTCAGGGTGAGACAGAATTCAGAGGTTCCCATCTCCATTCAACAGAGAATCCCACCTTCCACAAAGACGCTGGGTATGACTGGGACTTCCAGTGTGCCCCAGCCCCCAGGGACAGGCTGAGAAGTGGGCGTCTCCCCCGCCAGGGTGGAGAGACGGGGCCAGAGGGGCCGCTAAGCTGCGGCTCCCCCGGCTTCTCTGGCACGGAGCGCCAACCCTAATCAGGGATTAGTGGGAACCGCGCTGGAGGGAGGGCAGTGATAGGCTGCAGGGCGGGCTGCGGGCCAGGACAGCCACCAGAGACGCCCGCCCGGCTCACTCTTGTTGTCATCAGCGCTGCCCCCGAGGGGGCCTGGAACAGGGAGGGCGTGTGACAAGCGAGTAGCAGGGAGTTCCCCAGATCCTATCTGCCCGAAACACCTTCCTGCTGAGTTCAAACCGAGCAGCACTGGGCAGGCACAGGGAGCACGCTGAGATGCAAGACCAATGGAGGTCTCTGCCAGGCTCTGAGCTTGGGCCCCGTCCATCACGGTGCCTTCCCGGCGAGAGCGTGGACATGCGGAAGGCCCGACCCTGCAGCGTGTGGTCAGCGGCAGACAGAACAGAGAGAACGCAACGCAAAGCAGCCAGAGGCCCGTTTCCGCTCGCTCCCCAGACAGAGCTCCCCAGCTCCCTCAGGCACAGGGATCCGGCGAAAGGTTTTCTTTTGAAACCCCCAGGTCCTTCAAGGCTCTCTCCGCCGGACCTGACCAACCAGACGTTCGGGAGGAGCGTGCATCACCCCGGGCACAGGGGCATCCTGGAAGCGGTGCCCAAGGCAATCCCATTCTCCGAAGCCAACGGAGAAATGCCAGGGAATGAGGCAGAGCGGGTGAAGCAGGGCTACCCCGGCTCACACGTGCCAGGCAGGGTCCCGCCTCCGTGCCTGAACCGCCTCCAGACCCCGCAGACCATGCACCCAGCACTCCCTGGAGAGTTAAAGGCGCAGGGACAAGGCTCGCCTCTGCTCCTGCCACCAACCAAGGTGGACTCGCGCGGCCCCAGAGCCTGGCCTGTGGCCCCGGCTCCATCAGGGGTCGATGACAGCACCTGGTGTGAGGTCACAGGGCTCTGGGGCTCCCACAAGAAATGGGGTCGGGGTGGGGGTGTCCCCGACCGGGAGACGCCCAGCTCTGAACAGCAGGGCACACTGTCTAGGCACCAGGACAGCTGGCAGTCAACTGACCTTGCAGCCCTTGGTCAGCCAAAAGGCACAATCCGTTTTCAACGGTTCCGAACAGGACGGGACTTCAGAGTTGTTGGATGGACGGTCATGTACAGGCAAAGCTTTCTTCTTTGTTAAGCCCGAGATGCAAAGACCGGGCCCCAGCTGCTCAGGGACAGGCACACTGCATTCCCCATTCCCAAGGCCAAGGTCCCAGGCTTCTCCCCCGAGCTGCACAGGCAGGTGCAGGGCCACGAAAGCAAGGAGGACAGGCAAAGGCTGGGAGGCACCTTCTAACCCCCCAACCCCCCCCCAACCCCACCCCAGGCCCTATTCATTCCTCCTGCGGGAATGCCCAGAAATCGGGGACTTCCCAGAAATCGGGGACGCCAGGAACCTGTCATTCAACTTAGACTTTATTTTTACTTTTATTTTTAAAAGTAAAAATAAAGTCACCACGTCCTTAACTACGGAGGGAACAAAACCACAGGAGCAGCGTGGGGCAGCCGCTGGCTCACAAGCCCCCTCCCTGCGCTTTGTTTGGGGTAGGAGGTAGCCGGAGTCCAATACCAGCTCAGCGAAGCACAGGCTGTGTGGCCTTGGGCGGGTGGCTTTACCTCTCTGGCCTCCGCTCCTGCCTGTCGTGTGGACAGGCACAGGCATTGTGAGCATTCACAGGACGTGTACCCCTACAGCCCCCGAGACAACTGTCTGCAAGTGGCTGGCTCTCAGCGGCCACTCATTTTATCTGCCAGGGGATGCAAGCAGACCTCTTAGAAGTCCGTTCCTGGTGAAACCCAGCTCTACAGATGGAAGCATATGTGGGTCACAGTTATTCATACATCAGGCACAAAGGCAGAAAGTGTCCAGCTGGGAACCAGGATGCACCCGGGACTCCGGGAAGGGCTGATCAGAACTGGAAGGAGAGAGGGCCCCTCTGACAAGTCTCTCCCACGGCCAGACACGCCTCCGCGGTGGTCAAAAAGGTCCAGTCACTTTGTCTTGGATCTCCCATCAGGGATGGTCCGCACTCCAGGGTCTTTCTCCCAACTTTCCAGGGTCCCCCTCCCACAGGGAAGGCGCACATAGGACCCTCCAGTCCGGGGCTGTGGGAGGCTCCCGAGGACACACGCACCCCGCACCCCGCCATCAGCCGCACCCGGCCCGCGGCCCCGCCACGCCCTCCCAGACACTCACCCCTCTGCGCCGGGCCTCCTGGTTGAGGGCGGCCACCCAGGCGGCCTGCCACTGGCTCCGCCAGCTGTGCAGCCTCAGGATCCAGGAGAGCAGCACGTCCGGCTCCGGCTCCGGCTCCGGGCGCCGGTCCTCCCCGCCCGGCTGCGCCGCGCGCCGCGCGGGCCGGGCTCGCGCTCCGGCCAGCGCCCACTGCGCCAGGTACAGGCCCACCGTGCCCAAGGCCACGACGAAGAGCGACACCAGGGCCAGCCACTGGACCTCACCGAGCCACGAGTCCGGGCGGGACATGGCGATGGCGCATACCCCGCGCGCCTCGCCCAACTTCCCGGGGCGGCCCGGGCGGGACGCGGGGCGCGCGGCGGCGGCGAGCTCAGGACATCGGCCCGCGCGGGCCGGCCCGGGGGGCGTGGAGGGGCGTCCCGGGCTGGATCGGGGCGCCGGGCGGGCGGGCGGAGCGGGCCCGGGACCCGGGACCCGGGACCCGGGACCCGGGACCCGGAACGCGGAGCCGGGAGCAGGGAGCCTGGAGGCCAGGCGGGGCGATCAGGATCAGGAGGAAATGCCGGCCCGCGCGCGGCGGCCACCGCGGCACTGCGCCCCCAGCCCGCGCACCTGGCAGTGGGGACGCGGCGGCCGGCGTTCCCGACGCGGCGTCTGGGCAGCTGCGGGGCCGCGGCCCAGCGCGCTTCCTCCTGCGCGCGCCGCCCCCCGCGTCCCGCCCGGTGCCCAGCGGTGGCCGGAGAGGCTGCGGCCGGGGGCGGGGCAGGGGGTGGGGCCTAGTCCTAGGGGGCGGGCCGAGTCGTGGGGGCGGGGCCAGGGTCGCTGGCGCCCGGGCCGTCCCCGCCCCCTTAAAGGCGCATCGCCCCGGGTCCGGCTCGTCTTTCTCCGGCGTTGACATGCTGGGGTGCGGGACTTTCCAATGAGTAGTCAGCGGGATTCCAGGGAGACGGTGGGGCTCGAGGTCTCGCCTTCCCTGTGCGAGGCGCGCGTGCATGTGTGTGCGTGTGCATGAGTGAGCGCATGCCCATGCGCGCCTTCGCGTGAGAAAAGGTGATTTTTAGGGTCACTCTCTGGCCACCAGCAAGATGGTGCCTGGGTCTAACTTACTTGGAAAGTCCCTAGAAGTCCATGACTCCGTACCCTGAAGCCAGGAGGGCCTGGACACCCAGGTGGGGGTGTTGTTTGTTAAGCAGCGTGTGCACATGCATGGGTCTGGCACACCTCTCTCTGCACCTCTCAGTGAGCCAGCAGTGAGCCAGCAGTAAGCCAGCATCGTTAGGAAACGCTGCAAAACACTAGCCTAAGATTCCCCCGGGGCCTAAATAATATGATAATGATTCACTGGTGTATCCTCTGGCTGTCTGGAGGGGATTTGACCTTGAACTGGGTTGGCTATTCCTGAATGAATGAACACAGCCTTTTGTTACCTAGCCAGGGCCTGCGGATGGGCCAGTCTGGTGGGTGGGCAAGTGGTGGTTTTGGTTCTGCCACGGCGGCAGGGGGACCTCCCTGGTCCCTCTTGGGCCCCTTCCGGCCATCCACGGCGCTGAGTAGAGAGAATGGAAGCCTTAGAACCTGCTCAGGGGGAGTTAGCTAAGAAGCCCAGCTAGTTTGGCAGATCAGAGAGTAGGATCTCAATCTGGTTCCTAGGCCGGGGGCATTCATTGTCACCTATTATGCAAACTCCCTGGAACAGGAGAGCAAAGAGAACCACGGGTGTGATGATGAATCTGCCCTGGATACCGAGTAAGAAAGAGGAGTGAAGTGCCACCTAGAAAGGAGGAAGGGGAGGTTGGCCTGTGTGTGTGTGTGTGTGTGTGTGTGTGTGTGTGTGTGTATGCAAAGGCCCTGAGGCCTCCATGTAGCTTCACACTCCTGAGGTAGTGAGTGCAAGGGCATGTGTGATGGCTGGAGGCCGTCAGGGGTGGGGTGGGGTGGGGACTGCCACCAGAGCACCTGAGCTGTGGGGAGTGGATGGTGCCACGGAGCAGAAGAGGCACACCATCTAAAGCACGGACTGAACAGAATTGCATTTTGCAAACATCTCTCCGGGAAGCAGGTAGAGGGGGCGAGGCTGGAAGGAAGTGGAGGGGAAGAGAGCTTAGCTAGAGGGTGGAACCAGGGTCCAGGAGAAGGGTTTGGCTGGGCCCTCTCAGCCGAGGGTATTCCTTGCTTAGAGGCTAGAAGCCAGGAAAGGAGACTGAGTGTGGCATTGTGGGCAGAGAGCAGTGGAGGGCAAAGAGGTTCACATCGGATAGCTCCGGTCTTCTCTGAAAAGGAAAGAATTGGGAGGCAGCTGGACCGAGAGCCCTTGTGGGGACAGAGCAGGCAGCTGGCAGGGAGCTGAAATCGTCGGGTTGCCCATGTGAGCTGGGCAGGGGAGAACCAGCTGCTACCAGGCGGGTCTGATACTAGAAAGTGGAACTAAACTGGTCCTGTGAGCTTTCTACAAGTCACCTGGCCATTGAACGCCAGCGGTCTCTCCAGCTCACAGGTCCTTAAGGGTTAGGCAGTGGTGGGCAAACTCATCAGTCAACAGAGCCAAATATCAACAGTACGACGATTGAAATTTCTTTTGAGAGCCAAAAAACGACTTCTGCGCATGGGCCACGAAGTTTCAATCGCACTGTACGTGCATGCCCGCACGTGGTATTTTGTGGAAGAGCCACACTCAGTGGGCCAAAGAGCCACCTGTGGCTCTCGGGCTGCAGTGTGCCAACCACTGTAGGGAATGGTTCTCCTTTCCTTAATAAATCTCTTCTTCTAAAAAATAATATTTTTATTGATTTCAGAGAGGAAAGGAGAGGCAGAGGGAGGTAGAATCATCAATGATGAGAGAGAATCATTGATCAGCTGCCTCCCTCGTGCCCCCTACTGGGGGGTCGAGCCCACAACCCAGGCATGTGCCTCGACCAGGAATTGAACCGTGACCTCCTGGTTCATAGGTGGATGGCTCAACCATTGAGCCACACTGGCCAGGCTGGGAATCTCTTCTTATTTGAAGCAAGCCTCTAATTATTTTCCGATCTGCAGCCAGCCCTATGCAGTTAAATAATTCAAGTCCCTCTGGCCCCCTTTCCAAAACCCAGGGATGCTAGCTACCCCGGACTCCCCGCCTCCCTATTGCAGCAAGAGTCCACGTGCACACGTGTGCCCTGGCTGTCAGCCATGTTGGCAGGCACGAGAGGGCCCGCTTGTGTGGCTGGTGGAACCAGTCTCCTTCCTCACCCCGTGTCTCTAAGGCATACTAACCCCTGGCTCACTTACAGGCTCATAACAAACTGTCAGCGAACACACACCTCCGGTTTGCAATGTTTACAAAGGAATGCACACATGTAGGTATTGACTTACTTCTGCGTAGAACCAAGGGGAGGGAGGATAAGGGATGACCTGGGCTTACAGGGAAAAAAATGCAGCAAAATATGCAATAGGCATCCATCTATGCAAAACACCAGGCTCCCAGTCCCCTCACCCAGGGCGCTAAGGGCAGCGTTTTCCTACACGTGGTGACATTCTCCGTTCCTCGCTCACTCCGCTCTCCTCCACTCGACACCCTCCCACCCAAGGAGCCCAGGAGCCACGCTGGTTCTCGCCCACCACTCCTTCTGGAGAATCGGGCCCTCCATGCTCTGCTCTGCAGAGGCTGTTTGCTGATTTTGACAGCCCCAAAGAATCCCTGGGTTCAAATCCTCCGATGCGCTCCCACTGAGTTTTTGTGAGCAGGTGGGGAGTGTGTGGGAGGTGGGGGTGGGGAGGTGGGGGGGTGAATGGGACTGGTCGTTGCCCCCGATCCCGGCTCTTAGGCCGAGGTGGTGGTGATGGAACCAGCTCGCCGGGGAATATTCCAGACGGCGTCGCTCTGGACCTTAAAACAGGCAGGTTCCAGGGGGACAGGGAGGAAACAGCAGAAACTCTATTTCCAGATTCCTCTTCAGCCTGTTCTCCGGTGACTGGCTGTGTGCTGGGAGCACAGGCCACAGGAGTAAATGCTCCATTGTTGTAATGTTCGTTTTTAAATGTTTCTAAAAGGCTCTTGGTGCATCGATGAGAGAGAATCGTGGATCAGCTGCCTCCCCTCCAGGCAGTATTGCTCGCAGGGTGCTTTGCCCAGTCAGGCATCCATCTCTCAGGACCTCACTGACGCATCCAGGATGGAAGGATTCCCACCCCCAGCCAGGAGATGCTGTGATGATGTTGCATTTTTAAAAAAATGTATTTTATTGATTTTTTTACAGAGAGGAAGGGAGAGGGATAGAGAGCTGGAAACATCGGTGAGAGAGAGAAACATTGATCAGCTGCCTCTTGCACACCCCCCACTGGGGATGTGCCCGCAACCAAGGTACATGCCCTTGACCGGAATCGAAACCGGGACCCTTCTGTCCACAGGCTGACGCTCTATCCACTGAGCCAAACCGGTTTCGGCTGATGTTGCATTTTTTAAAATTTATAAACATGCCCAGTGTTATTGATGCTTCGTATCTAGACTCAAAGTGCTATTTATTCATTTTGAAGTTAGTCATTACCATTGAATCAGATGCTCTGTGAATTTATAAGAATACATAGCAACAATTGGGATGTATGCATACATACTTGTTCAAGGTTTTGTTACATTTACAGTGACATTGGTGGTTGCCAGAGGGAAGGGGGCGGGGGGGGGGAATGGGGTCCTAATGCATTGTGACAGGAGAAGGTTTGACTTTGGGTGGTGGACACACGGTGCAATATAAAGATCTTGTAACATAGACACCCGCACCAATGTCACCCCAACCAATTTAATTTTTTAAATATATATATATTTTTTATTGATTTTTTACAGAGAGGAAGGGAGAGAGATAGAGAGCTAGAAACGTCGATGAGAGAGAAACATCGACCAGCTGCCTCTTGCACACCCCCTACCGGGGATGTGCCCGCAACCGATGTACATGCCCTTGACTGGAATCGAACCCGGGACCTGAGCCAAACCAGTTTTGGCCCAACCAATTTAATTTTTAAAAATTCCGAAGAATTATTGTAAACTTGTGGGACAGGGAAGGGGGGGTCCAGGGAGTTTGCCGTTCGTCTCTAACCTGGCCCTCGTGGGGCTCCCTCTGCTCTGTAGAATGATGAGGGTGACGCCGAGGTGCTGGTGGTGGCGGCAGCGTGAACGACCAGGTTACGCCCGATGCCCCAGCGGACCTGAGCCCTGGGCCCCCGCAGGGCCTCGGTGGAGGACCTGGGATGGACAGACGGCCTGTGCGTACACACGGCCCGCTTCCTCCCGCGGCCCTGAGGGAAGACATTCCGAGCAT